TCCGCCCTTCCCTGTCACCTTGTAATTTATTTGGTGAAGGAACTGGATCCATTGTCCTGCAAAGATCTCCAAGGTCTGGATTTGGCTGATGCAGTGGTGGTATTTAACATGTTATTCTATCTTCTATATTTCCTGTAAATTGCTTGTTTGATTTAGATATTTAATCAGATTTAGGTGTGATTTTTGTGGACGAAACTACTTCATGGACTGCATTGTCCCCTCCCGTGAGAGGGTGCCTGATCTCTAGCTATCTCACTTTCTGTCGTTTTAGTAGCCATTGATATTTATTGCTTAGATCCATTAGTTAATTAGGAGTTACAGAACGGCAATAGTTTAGTTTTATCATTTTTTTCTTCATTTACTAGCTTGGAATGCTTTCATAACAGCAACTAACCTAAACTAACCACAATTTTACCATGAGTTGAAACATACTGAAATGTTGCAGTCCCCTTCAGCTTATTATTTTATAGATACTTGGATTAAGCCATCTCCAGCCAGTTCGCTCCTTCGGACATGACCCTACTAGTCTGTGTTATCCAAATAGCAAGGGAGTTAAGATGTTCCAGGGTCTGCCCTTGACCTGGAATAAACCATGTCTCCAAAGATTCCTGATTCCACTTAGTAGGAAAAGGCTTTTAGAGGCCACAATCCAGGGCTGATTCTTCATCACTTTCAGTAGACGGAAGTAGGACTATATTGTTGTTTGTAATACAAATATATTATGAGTTCATGCTGATATTTTCAATTCAAATTCAGAACTACAGGGGATTTTATTTAACTTCTTCTTCCATCTGTGCCCCCTTTGTCTGTGCTAAGAATCCTGGTTCTCAAGGACACCATGGATCATAACATAATTACTCATTTACTTTATCTACATTACAACAGAGCAGTCACAAAACAAGGCCAAGCTAGGACAACAATATTATTCCCTGTTTTTTAAAATTATTGCACAGTATTATTCCATTGTGCAGAGGTACCACACTTCAGTCAACCAGCCCTCCCTTCTTGAACATTTACGTTGTTTCTAATTCAAGAAAGATTTGATGGGAGAACTTGGGAAGTCAGCATATTGTGCTGTGACAAGTTTCTGAATACTCAGCATTTAGCCTTCAGTAGTACATTGTTCTACCATTTTCTGAGCACTTCCAAATACCTTGTATCTCATTTCCACAGCAATCTTGGGAGGGATCAGACATAAGGACTAAGCTTTCCCATCTTCCTCATTACCCATTAGGACTGGTCTCCCATGAATTCCCATAAGACATTCTTCTTAAACCAACCCCTATTTTCAACCTTTCCTTATTACTTCTTAAATGTGTTTCCACCATAAATATACAAAGTGCTTCTTACTAGCAGAGAGACCTTGAGCAAGTAACTTAAATTCCCCAAGTCTTTCTTTCCTCATCTGTAAACCAGAGATAGAATGGAACCTATGCATGGGGTAGAATGGGGACCAGAAGTGAGCATGTCAGCCACTAGCAGGGTCTGGCCCACGGGAACATAGAGTAAATATTTACTATGTTATTTTCCTCATGTCATCACTATTCTTCATCTAACATATTTCAAATAATTGCATGTAATCTTAGCACCCAGAGATAAGCCCTATTTGGGTGTATTTTCTTCCTTAATTTACACGTAGAGGTGTGTATTAGGTCCACTTGAGCTGCTATAACAAAATACCACACACCAAGTGGCTAAAACAATAGAAATTTATTTCTCCCAGTTCTAGAGGCTGGAAAATCCAATGTCAAGGTGCCAGCAGATTTAGCTGCTGGTGAGGACTCTCTTCCTGGCTTGCAAATGGCCACCTTTTTTCTGTATCCTCAGCAAGAGAGACAGCAGGCTTTAATCTCTCTCCCACTTCTTATTAGAACAATAAAACTTAATTGCCTCCCAAAGGCCCCACCTCTAAATACCATCACACATGGGTGACGGGACTTTAATTGTATGAATTTGGGGTCAGACAAACATCAGTTCATTTCAGGTTGATGATGCAAATAGGATGATTCTGTAATCTGCCTTTTACATTAAACTAGAGGCCAGTTTAAAAACTAAACTTTTTCTGTAAAGTGCCAGATAATATAAATTTTAGGCTTTGTGCATTTGTCTGTATCACGATTATTTTTTTTTTTTTTT